ACAAAGTCGATTCCGTATTTTCACAAACTGAATATGTGTGTCTTGTTGACGGCACGTGACGTGACACGTTGACGAGCTGTCCGAGATAAGTCACGCGTGCTGCCATGTCGTAGCTCGTGTAGGTATTTAAAACCTCTCCAGATAAAAAAAACTATAAAATGTCGTGCAACTTCATTTTGCGCTGTACCTGTTTGCAGGATACACACGGCGCGTACACGTCGACTTTGAGCAAGTCGAGGCATGGCGTTAGCGTTACTTGCCGTTAAAGCATTTGAGCACCTAAAGCGAATCGTAAGTGCTATCATTTAAAACATAACGAGTGTGGATGCCATGCTGCCAACAAACACGCAAACATCAGTTGTGTGTCGTGCATTTACCGATATATACTGAAAGATGCAAAAATTTGTTTAATTTCAGAAAGAACCTATTTTTTCTATGAATACACAAAGCATTTAGAAAGTGACCAAATGTAACATATGTTATATTTTGGATTACACTTTCTCAATAAAGTTCAGATTCTAGTAATTTTGTTGGGTTGAGTCCCGCTGGGGTAGGAACCCATACCCTCAGAGTCAAGCGCCTGGTTTTCTAACTTTAAACGCAGCACAGTTTCTCTTTTCGATCTGTATATATGGATTGTTTTAGGGCGAGTGCACGTGTATAGTCAGAGCGATTAACAGTAACGCTGTATGGACTTCACGTGCCAGCATGCACTCCATGCTGGCAAACATTCTAAGAATCGTGGACAGGTAAATATATTCCCACCAATTCTCACAGAGAACACCCAATTGTAAACACGTTTATTGTAAAAAATATATTTCTGTCACTTGTTGTTGCTGTTTTATTGAAGAAGGTGTCAAGAACAAAAATCAGAAATTGTAGCACCCAAAGAGGGCTTCATGATGAACATACTTACTCCTTCATCAAGTGATGAATATACTTACTCCTTTATCTGGTGATGAATATACTTACTCCTTTATCAAGTGATGAATATACTTACTCCTTTATCTGGTGATGAATATACTTACTCCTTCATCAAGTGATGAATATACTTACTCCTTTATCAGGTGGTGAATATACTTACTCCTTTATCAGGTGGTGAATATACTTACTCCTTTATCAGGTGGTGAATATACTTACTCCTTTATCAGGTGGTGAATATACTTACTCCTTTATCTGGTGATGAATATACTTACTCCTTTATCTGGTGATGAATATATAAATGAATATACTTCCTTTATCTGGTGATGAATATATACTTACTCCTTTATCTGGTGATGATATATAATTACTCCTCCTTATCTGGTGATGAATATACTTACTCCTTCATCTGGTGATGAATATACTTACTCCTTTATCTGGTGATGAATATACTTACTCCTTCATCAGGTGATGAATATACTTACTCCTTTATCAGGTGATGAATATACTTACTCCTTTATCTGGTGATGAATATACTTACTCCTTTATCTGGTGATGAATATACTTACTCCTTTATCTGGTGATGATGAATATACTTACTCCTTCATCAAGTGATGAATATACTTACTCCTTTATCAGGTGGTGAATATACTTACTCCTTTATCAGGTGGTGAATATACTTACTCCTTTATCAGGTGATGAATATACTTACTCCTTTATCTGGTGATGAATATACTTACTCCTTTATCTGGTGATGAATATACTTACTCCTTTATCTGGTGATGAATATACTTACTCCTTTATCTGGTGATGAATATACTTACTCCTTTATCTGGTGATGAATATACTTACTCCTTTATCAGGTGGTGAATATACTTACTCCTTTATCTGGTGGATGAATATACTTACTCCCTTTATCAGGTGGTGAATATACTTACTCCTTTATCAGGTGATGAATATACTCCTTTATCAGGTGGTGAATATACCTCCTTTATCAGGTGGTGAATGAATACTCCTTTATCAGGTGATGAATATACTTACTCCTTTATCAGGTGATGAATATACTTACTCCTTTATCTGGTGATGAATATACTTACTCCTTTATCAGGTGGTGAATATACTTACTCCTTCATCAAGTGATGAATATACTTACTCCTTTATCTGGTGATGAATATACTTACTCCTTTATCTGGTGATGAATATACTTACTCCTTTATCTGGTGATGAATATACTTACTCCTTTATCAGGTGGTGAATATACTTACTCCTTTATCTGGTGATGAATATACTTACTCCTTTATCTGGTGGTGAATATACTTACTCCTTTATCTGGTGATGAATATATACTTACTCCTTTATCAGGTGAAGAATATACTTACTCATTCATCAGTAAGAAAATACTCTGAAACGTCCTGTTCCGTTAATGTACCCCTCAATGTGTATCACTTCGAAATGCTAAAGGCTCAATGAGAGATAGTTATGTGTCCCTCAAGTATCTAAATAGATGCAGTTTGACTGCCAACATCTAAACATATCTTGGAAGGAAATGAATTCTGAAGTCAAAATTTATCCTCAACTCATTCTTTTCATTTAAGGTAACATATTTTCTTGTGGCGCTTCAATGGCAGTTGTCATATACGTTGAATGTGACACCGACTGTCATCACTGTTTTCATGTGGTACTTCAATGACAGCTGTCATATACGTTGAATGTGACATCGACCGTCATCACTGATTTCCTGCGGCGCTTCAATGGCCAGTTGTCATATAGTTGAATGTGACACTGAGTGTCATCACTGATTTCCTGCGGCGCTTCAATGGCAGTTGTCATATACGGTGAATGTGACAACGAGTGTCATCACTGATTTCCTGTTGCACTTCAATGACTGTTGTCATATACGTTCAATGTGACACCGAGTGTCATCATTGATTTCCTGCGGCGCTTCAATGGCTGTTTTCATATACGTTGAATGTGACACCGACTGTCATCACTGTTTTCATGTGGCACTTCAATGACAGCTGTCATATACGTTGAATGTGACACGAGTGTCATCACTGATTTCCTGTGGCGCTTCAATTGCAGTTGTCATATACGTTGAATGTGACATCAACGTCATCACTCATTTCCTGTGGCGCTTCAATGACTGTTGTCATATACGTTGAATGACATGTCATCACACAATGACGATGTTGAATGTCATCACTGATATTCTGTGATGCTTCAATGGCAGTTGTCAGATACGTTGAATGTGACATCGAGTGTCATCACTGATATCCTGTGGCGCTTCAATGGCAGTTGTCATATACGTTGAATGTGACACCCAGTTTCATCACTGATATCCTGCGGCGCTTCAATGGCTGTTGTCATATCCGTTGAATGTGACACCGAGTGTCATCACTGATATTCTGTGATGCTTCAATGGCAGTTGTCAGATACGTTGAATGTGACGCCGAGTGTCATCACTGATATCCTGTGGCACTTCAATGGCAGTTGTCATATACGTTGAATGTGACACCCAGGTTCATCACTGATATCCTGTGGCGCTTCAATGGCTGTTTTCATATACGTTGAATGTGACACCGAGTGTCATCACTGATATTCTGAGACGCTTCAATGGCTGTTGTCATGTACGTTGAATGTGACACTGAGTGTCATCACTGATATCCTGTGGCGTTTTAAGGGAAGTTGTCATGTACGTTGAATGTGACCCCGAGCGTTATCACTGATATCCTGTGGCGCTTCAATGGCAGTTGTCAGATACGCTGAATGTGCCACCGAGTGGCATCACTGATATCCTGTGGCGCATCAATGGAGTTGTCATAAACATTGAATGTGACACCGAGTGTCATCACTGATTTCCTGCGGCGCTTCAATGGCTGTTGTCATATACGTTGAATGTGACACCGACTGTCATCCCTGTTTTCATGTGGCACTTCAATGACAGCTGTTATATACGTTGAATGTGACATCGACCGTCATCACTGATTTCCTGCGGCGCTTCAATGGCCAGTTGTCATATAGTTGAATGTGACACTGAGTGTCATCACTGATTTCCTGCGGCGCTTCAATGGCAGTTGACAAATAAGTTGAATGTGACACCGAACGTCATCACTCATTTCCTGTGGCGCTTCAATGACTGTTGTCATATATGTTGAATGTGACACGGAGTGTCATCACTGATTTTGCTTTAATGGCTGTTGTCATATACGTTGAATGTGTCACTGTCATCCCTGTTTTCATGTGGCACTTCAATGACAGCTGTTATATACGTTGAATGTGACATCGACCGTCATCACTGATTTCCTGTAGCGCTTTAATGGCCAGTTGTCATATAGTTGAATGTGACACTGAGTATCATCACTGATTTCCTGCGGCGCTTCAATGGCAGTTGACAAATAAGTTGAATGTGACACCGAACGTCATCACTCATTTCCTGTGGCGCTTCAATGACTGTTGTCATATATGTTGAATGTGACACCGAGTGTCATCACTGATTTCCTGTGGCGCTTCAATGGCAGTTGTCGTATACGTTGAATGTGACATTGAGTGTCATCATTGATTTATTGTTGCGCTTCAATGGCTGTTGCCATATAGTTGAATGACACTGAGGGTCATCACTGATATCCTGTGGCGCTTCAATGGCAGTTGTCATGTACGTTGAATGTGACACCCAGGTTCATCACTGATATCCTGCGGCGCTTCAATGGCTGTTGTCAAAAACATGTGATTAGTAGAGGTTAAATTCATAATGATAATAATATGAAACATGTACGATATTTTTTTAAATCTATATTATCAGTAGTTAGCATAAAAAAAAACCCAGACTCGCTCCCAGAATGCCTTCACTACTATGAGGGAGCGACCGGGGCAGGTCGTTGAGTCCTGAAAGGGGCCGGAAACCAGTCCATTCTAAAAAATAGCGACTTCAATATACAGACGGAGTCCAGCTTGACCAATCCGGATGTGACGTCATATAAACGAGCAGAGCGGCTCCCGGCTTTGTTGCAAGGTGACGCCTGGTTCTCCGAATACTCTGCGCTTGCGCTACACTGCCTTCGCTACTATCAAGGAGCCGCCAGGGGACCAGGTCATTGAGGAGATAGGCAGGAAACCAGTCTCTTCTAAAAATAGCCATATTGCCCGCGCTCGGAACGGAAAATCTGGTGGTTTTTCATTTTAGTTTCATCCCGAAGCCGAGAGGTCGTACATTGTGATGGCACTTGAGCGTAAGTAAATGCAACCTTCGAAGGTAAAGGTAACATCTACTCTTGGAATTCGTTCGTGATCGTCGGTATTTATATTGTTTTAAAATGCTTTATGTCAGTAAGGATCGTCGGTATTTATATTGGGGTATAATGCACTTTTTCAGATAAAATGCTGGGGTTTAACCCTAACCCTGTCAGTAAGGAAGTGTCATCTTCAAGAAAAGACAAGTTTCACGTTTATTCGTGGAGGCCGCCATTACCAGATTACACCCCCCTCCAATGAATAATGATTGTTTTGTAATCTCTCACTTAGGAAGCACTGAGAGCAACTCTTTTTGGTCAGCAGCGCAGGGTTTTGCCTACTCAAACAATTTTTTTATAGAGTAACATCAACATAATGCAAGATACCTTGGAGATGAACTTACCATCCATGAACATGCTGAATAATTTGTTGAAAATGTTGGTAAAATGCAATAATAATACATGGTATATTCCAGTTCATAAGAAATGGAACATACTTCTGACACAAAATTGTTATGGTCAGCTTAGACATCTTTGTACTATTTTCGATCAATCTATATCTTTCGATTTATAGTTATTATTCTTTAATTACAGATTTAGGAAACCGTATCCAACTTCTGACACCAAAAACTGACGATTTACTTGACTTCCTTTTCACAGTTTAACTTCTGTCACATATTAAGAAAGTGAAACACACGTTGGAAACATTAACAAGAAGTTTATTTATAAAAATAGTACAATGATGTCTGAGCTGACCAGAACAACAACCATGTTCGGACACGGAAAGGATATGAGTAATGACACAACACAGGTCATTATCAATATGATAAATGATGAACATAAATCAGCCAATGTTTCACAAGTATTAGGTATCCATCCTTCTACCATTTGCAAATTTTTGAACAGGTATCGAGAACGTAAAATATAGAAAACAGTTGTCATTCTGGTAGACCTGCAAAAATCACAGCAGGGGAAGTAATCAACTTTCTAGGATCATTAAAGTTAATTGGCGGAAATCTTTGGAGGATATTGCTCACATTTTTAACCAGTCTGTGCCACACCTGTTTCCAGAGGAACTGTTCCAAAGAAATGTACATTCGCTTGCATTTGTTTGCCGGACCATTTGCAAAGGGCTTGGAATGTGTGAGGTCAAGAGGAAAAAAACGTGTGACATGGTGTAGAGGAAAGATATGTTGGACTGTTGCTAGGGACTGGAAAAAGGTCATCTTTACCGATGACTATTGTTAAACCTGATGGAAGAGTTAGTGTGGCGAAAGTGATCAGTAACTTGGAAGGGCAAGTGTCTCGTGTATTTCATTTTCACTCAGGGAATAGAGTGGTCTATGGGAGTAGGAAGCTGATGATGTGGGGGTGCATTAAGTATTACGGTGTTAGTGTTCCCCCTAGGATTCAGAAAGGGCAGGGTAACTTAAACAAAAAGGGCACTTCATAATCTAAAAGGGCACTTTGGTGAGGATTATTGAAAAAATAACAATAACAAAATGTATATGAAGTCAAATGCTCTTATAATTTTATTTCTAAAGTTCATTTATTACTCTTCTCATTTTGTATTTTAAGATCAAAATTTGGAAAAAAAAGCATTTCAAGACATTAATCTGTTGTCACATTTGTTTACAATTTCACAAAACACTAAAACAACAATTTACAGTTTTGTTTTCTTTCTTGCCAAGCATCTGTTCACAACTTTTTCAAGTCAATGTCTGAAACTGACGATGCATTCAGACTAATCAAGAGAAGTCTGTTGCAATTTTGAACACTGAGTCTGTTTTTATGATCTGTCACAATCAGTTTCACTTTTGAGAACACTCTCTCAACTTCAGAAGTGGACAATCACAGTTGCATGAATGGACAGTAATTGAACAATGTTTGGATTCAAGTTTCCAAGTTGAGGCTTGAGTCTTCAAAATGGTGGAGGGTGAACTGGTGTCAAGCTCCTTTACTTGACACCACTCAATCTGTGTTTCTGCCCTTGGTGTTCATTTAGAACATAATGAACAAAACATCATTCCCTTCTTTTTGTCATCTTCTGAGTACCTCGACCAGGGATCGGTTTTGTTGCCACTTTGTGTCAAATGCAGTCTTGTGACCACCATCTTTCTTCTGTGTTGGATTAACTGACTCTGTCTCGCGGTGCCCTTGAATTTTCATAGGAAACTACCTCTGACTCGCCTAAGTCCGGTCTGAAAAAAATATATACAAAGTTAGTATACCATATTCAAAATATTCTTAGATATTAAATTTGCAATCATAATCATTAAAACAAAAATACACACAATAATACACCTGAACGTAAGTATCTACTGTGGAGAGCCGACAAGGGTGTGGCTTCCCATTGTTTGAAATCGTGAAAATAGTTTTGCTCCTTCAAGACTTACATTTTTATGAAATCGACAGTAAACACTAAAACAAGGCTACCAAGTGAAGCTGTTATGCAAGCTGTATTAACTATTTCATTTCCCAGGATCTAAAAACAAAATAATTCAAGATCAATTTCAAATTGCCGATGGATTCAAAATGGCGGACATTTTCGATTTTCAGATTTTCACCTAAACAGCACAGTCACATGAACATCGGTCCCCCAAACGCGTGCCAAAATACATCCCATGTAGTTCACACATCGTTATCTGGTGTTGGGGTGTTTGGTGTCGAAAAAGGGCGGACAGTGCTAAGGATGTTAATACACTAGACATCTTTTGTGGCCTGTTGTTGTAAAGCATTACCTTAACAAACCATGGCTGTTTCAAGATGACAATGAACCTGTGATGGTCCGGGTTAGAATATTGGCCTTCAGTAACCCATGCTTGTCGTAAGAGGTGACTAATGGGATCGGGTGGTCAGGCTCGCTGACTTGGTTGACACATGTCATCGGTTCCCAATTGCACAAATCGATGCTCATGTTGTTGATCACTGGATTGTCTGGTCCAGACTCAATTATTTACATATCGCCACCATATAGCTGGAATATTGCTGAGTGCGGCGAAAAACTAAACTCACTCACTCAAGATGACAATGCACTGATACATCAGTCCTGTGAAAAAGAAACATGGGAAAGCTGGAATGACATTCCTCAGCTATCATGGCCAGCACAGACTCCAGATTTGAACCAAACTGAAAATATTTTGCTGCTGTTGAAAACCAGTGTGAAAAGAACCCATTTCTATGATCAGGAATCTGGGAGACTTGAGGGAGTGTCTCCAGTCTGCTTGGGATGATCTGCCTCTTTATAACATTCAAAGACTTTCTGGGTCCCTACCTAATACCCACATTCCACAGAGATTTACACCAGTACATCACCAGTTCGATTCTCAGTTCAATGATGTTTAGCACTGTTTATCTGTTGTGACATCGGAGGATAATCACTCATTGACTCAACTGTCATCCGACACATATCACATAGCAAGTGGGGACATCTGACTGCCAACAGACTAGAAATGGAGGGTCAGCCGACACTCACTCTGCAGATTTTCATCGGATACTACAGTGAACGCGAACAGAACAAAAATGTTCGAGGACAAAGGTCCTTTGGGAGCTGGTGCTTCATGCATGGGAGCCTTGTTCCTCCATTCTCCTGGTATGATGTTGTGGTTGGCATCCTCTGTATCCAGCTGACCATGGTGCATGGCTAGGTGCCGTATTGGGATCAGTTTGTGGGGACAGACACAGGTTTCTATGATGTTACGCACAAAGTCAGGTTCTTCCTGTAATGTTTCTAGAAGACACTTAAATCAGGCTGCCAGTATTCCGAAAGCGTTCTCCGTGACTTTGCGGGTGCTACTTATGCAATAGTTATATCTCTGCTCTGTAGGAGTCATGTTCATGCTCGAGTTTGGCCTCATTATGTGGGTTCGTAAAGCAAAGGCGTCATCCACGATCATGAAGTATGGCATGTTCTGGTGGTCATTGGCTCAGGAGGCGGGGAATCTTATTTGACCACTGTCTCTTTGAGTTCAGATGCATTATATATCTGTGCGTCAGACATATGTCCTTGACCACCGGTGTCTATCCAGTAGTTCGCATCAACAAGTGCCACGAGGACCACTGAGAAGAAATGTTTTAATTATGATAGACACTGCCTGAGTTTTTCATTTCCCGACTGTATGTGCTTGTTATCAAGTGCCTGCATTACATGTGGAACATTCCAATGCCTCTTGTATTCTTCAGCAATTGCATGCCATTCTTGTTCAGTGGTGGGACAGTGGATCACTTCATCAGCATACTTATCCACTATGGCTTGACAGACCTCGGGGATAAACTTGAAAATGGTTTCTCGAGCAACCCTGAAGCTGCATGACAGTGATGGATACCGATCGCCAGCTGCAACATGCCTTAGGGTACAGGCTAACTTGAGACCAGTTTCAAGGGCTCTCCTGGCTTTGGTATCACCCTTCATGAGTATCGGTGCAAGTCTCTGGAGTAATTCATCAACAAATTCTGGCTTAACTCTCAAGAAATTGAAGAATGCCATTGCATCCTCCATTCTCAGTTCATTTATGAGTCTGGTGTAGTTCATATATAACAGCCTTCTATCCGCTTGCAGCCATGGTCCAACCCCAATAACGACGTGGTCTTTTAGTCCTTCTCAAGACCTCAAGGGTCATTTATCTTGTTGCATAGTTTGTCCATGTTGATCCATGACAAGTACCGTCAGGAGGTGCAGCTCGCTTTTATAATCGACTGCGATTTTGACGACAAATCTGTCCAGTATTGGGTCAGTGTCAGATTACCCCAGCGTCCGATTAATAGTAACCGATTTGCCGGATTGGTGTCAGGAGAGCATTTGAAGTGTCAGATTAGTGTCGGCTCACCCTCGTATTACAATCCGACTCCAGTTGAATCAGGCCACTACCAGTCTTTCATCTGATTAGCCTGATCAATTTTGGATCTCCATTAGATTTTACGGAAAAAAGGGACACCCCAAAAAGAATGTTGATGAATTTTCATTGGATCTCATCGCTGAAATTTTCGCAAAATTGGGATCAGATGAGGTTCCGATGGTCAATGGAATGGTGGTATACTATAAGCGTTTATGACAAGTACTGATCTCAAAAGGACTCTTAACAAAATATTTAAGCAACTGGACACCAATACGGTAAACAACACGTTCGTTATTGGGTTATGGTCTTCCATCTTGAAAATTGAAACAGTTTTGGCACATGTGTGTATGTTTACAACTTGTCTCCCCATGAAAGGTTCTGTTCCTGGATCTAAAGGCACTCCAGGTGTTTAATGATAAAGTGTGTCACTCCTTATGATATCTACCATCTAAATGATATTTATATAGAAAGGCATTAATTTTGAATCTACAATATTATGTAATTGAATTGATCAAAGACAGATCTCTTTATGTTTACATGAAGACATATTTGAATTATTTCAATGCAGTGTTTTAACCTATGGGTGTATCTATGAAAATATTGGGGCTAAATGGATTAGTAACAAACAAATGTATTCATTGCTTTCAACCAATTTTACACAGTGGGACCAAATAAAAACAAACGTAGTGGTTCCGATTTCACCTCTTTAAAATTTATGGTAGGTAGGTAGGATTTTTTTTTTACATTTTCTTTTAGAAGTAATGTATGAACTAATAACAAATTGATGTATAATTGTTTATTCAATCTAGCTTGCGGCCATCATGTTGACTTTCTCTATTAGAATGACCGATGTCCATTGGTGCCGGGCAAAAACAATGGTATCTGAAAGCTTATTTTATTCATACCTCTTAAAAAAACTGGGGTCGGCACCAGAATTCAAGGATCGGTCGGGTACTCGGAACCACATTTGTGTTTTAGGCCTGGTGTATATCACCTGTACACCGCTTGGCAAGACATCTACTTGTTTGCTGTTTGTTTTGTTTTGACAGGGTGATGATGGACTAGGCATAGCCCTTAATTACGTAGCATCAGTGAAAGTATTGATATTAAACATACGAATACAATTAATTGTGAGGCTATAGAGGTTAATTGTACATCCCGCCATTGGCATTTTTCATACAGGATATTGAAAATCACTCCGCTAAGTTGTATATAGTGTGCTGTGTGTGGGAAGACATTTTACAGTACCAGGTTTGTTATCATGCAATGTGTCATACCATCATATTGTGTACCCTTGTTATAAGAGTGTGACTACGTTTCTTATGTTTTCAGTGAACACCATAACATCCAAACTTTATTGATGGAAGTTGAAAGCAATCTACAAAATCCTTTTTCTATCACTAAAACAAATGGAATCTTTTGAAGGGATTTGCTGGAAACAGGAGATCTCTTACTGATACCTTGGAATCAGGTGATTTTAAGGAAGAACCCACCCATTAATGGAATCTTGGAAATAGGTGATCTCATGAATGAGCTCGTTATTGGAACCCTGGAATCTGTTGATCTGATGAAAAAAACGTTATTGGAACCCCAGAAACAGGTGATCTAATGAAAGAATGTGTTACTGGAACCCTGGAAACTGGTGATCTCATGAACCAACCTATTATTGGAACCCTGGAAACTGGTGATCTCATGAACCAACCTATTATTGGAACCCTGGAAACAGGTGATTTCTCAAGAGAACCTGTTATTGGAACCCTGGCAAAAAGTGGTTTTGTGAATCATGGCAAAGATAGTGGTCCAACCAAGCTGTCTCATACATAGTGAGTGAGTAGATAGAAAAACATTTTCTACATTAGATAGCTTGAAAAGTCACATGCTCTGTCATAGTGGAATCAAGCCCTATGAATGTGCTGAATGTGGGGAAGAATTTGCACAAACAAGTGATATCCTGAAACACATGAAAAGTCACACATCAGTCAAGCCTTATCAGTGCATTGTGTGTGAGAAAACGTTTAGTCAAGTAGGCAGCCTGAACACACACATGAGGATTCACACAGGAATCGAGCCTTTTAAATGTGTTGAATGTGGGGAAACATTTACAGATTCAGGTAGCCTGCAGAGACACATGTGGATTCACACAGGAATCAAGCCTTATCAATGTGATGAATGTGGGAAAACATTTACACAATCAGGTCACCTGCAGAGACACATGAGGATTCACAGTGGAACCAAGCCTCATCAATGTGATGAATGTGGGAAAACATTTACACAATCAGTTCATTTGCAGTCACACATGAGAATTCACAGTGGAATCAAGCCTTATGAATGTGTTGAATGTGGGAAAAAATTTAAACACTCAAGTTGTCTCTCTGAACACATGAAAAGTCACACAGGAGTCAAGCCATATCAGTGCATTGTGTGCGAGAAAAAATTTACAAGATCAGCTGGCCTGGAGAGACACATGAGGATTCACAGTGGAATCAAGCCTTATCAGTGTATTGAATGTGGAAAAAAGTTTACAAGATCAGGTCACCTGCAGACACACATGAGGATTCACAGTGGAATCACGCCTTATCAGTGTATTGAATGTGGAAAAAAGTTTACAAGATCAGGTCACCTGCAGACACACATGAGGATTCACAGTGGAATCAAGCCTTATGAATGTGTTGAATGTGGGAAAACATTTACACAGTCATGTACTTTGCAGAGACACATGAAGATTCACAGTTCACATGTGTTGTGTGGGAAAATACAGAGTCAAGTTCTTGCAGAGACACATGAAGATTCACAGTTGAATCAAGCCTTAAGAATGTGTATAATGTGGGGAAAAAATTGCACAATCAGTTCATTTGCAGGCACACATGAGGATTCTCAGTGGAATGAAGCCTTATGAATGTGGGGTAAAAATTACACAATCAGTTCATTTGCAGGCACACAAGAAGATTCTCAGTGGAATCATTTCTCTCATCAGTGCATAGTGTGTGGGAAAACATTTACACAATCAGGTAGCCTGCAGAAGCACAGGAGGATTCACACAGTAACCAAGCTTTATGAATGATGGGTAAAAGTTTTGCATAATCAGTTCATCTGGGAAAACATTACACAATCAGTTCATCTGCAGGCTCACATGAGAATTCACACAGTAACCAAGCTTTATGAATGATGGGTAAAATTTGCATAATCAGTTCATCTGCAGGCACACATGAGGATTCACACAGAAACCAAGCCTTACAAATGTGTTGACTGCAGGGTAAACATTGCACTGTCTTGTACTCTTCAGAAACACATGCGGATTCACTGTAGAATCAAGCCAAATGAATGTGTTGAATGTAGGAATAAAATTTCACAATCAGTTCATGTGCATCTTCACATCAAGATTCACAGCCTTATGAATATGTAGAATGTAGTAAAGAAATTACATAATCAGTCCATCTGCGGGAACACATGAGGATTCACACAGGAATAAGACCATATCAATGCATGGTGTGTGTGGAAAACCATTTGCACAATCAGCTTATTTGCAGGCATACAATATGTAGCAATATTCCAGTAGCAATATTCCAGCAACACTAAGACAGCACGGTATTCCCGGCATACCAGTATATATCGCAATAAGCTTTTCAAACGATAAAGCACATATATGAAGTCTTTGTGATTATCTTTATGGTTCAAATTAAAATCTACACTTTCATTCACAACAAATGTTTTCCTTCGTTTTTCAATGACAAAGCGGCATACTGTAATACAAAAAATAGTATGAAAAAGAACATAGAATACTTGACTAAGCAACCTATTTTTGAGTTTGCTATATATATATATATATATATATATATATAACTATAACTATAACGTAAACATTCCCCCTGGATTATGGTAGCCTTATATTACGTGCAGAAAATCAAATGCAGTTTTTGAAAACACTAAGTCATAGCTATTCCTAGTGCTATGCCTAACCTATCCATGAGTTATCTCCCTTGATCCTGACGTCACTATTGTTTGGTCACACACAAGACGTGTAGAGAAGTCAGTGAAGTTTTTTTTATGATCATGTCTTCATTTCTTCACAAATAGGTCAGTTACAAATTGCATTCTATATTAATATTCAATTTCATTACTAGTTGATGTTGTATTGCGTATATTTTCTTGATTTTTGGACTTTTCCTGCCCTTATTGACAAGACGAATATGGGACAAAACAAGTTTCTCCAAAGCCAAAAGTTTATGGCGGACGTCGATCCCCACTCCTTATGTGCTTCATGCTTTAAACGATTGCGGTGCTCCTTATCAGATCGATGTCTATTGTGTCAGGAAATGTCTGAAGAGAAATTATGGAGAAATCTTGTTCCCTGGCTAGGAAGTGTAACAACTCTTCATCACCTGAATGTTCTATATCTAAATCCTCTACCCATGTGGATATGACTTCTATTTCGGAATTACTGGCCGGTTTAAAGTCAGATATTCAGGCTGCTATGGATAAGTCAGTACATGAATTGGAGCTCAGAAACGAGATGAAGTTTAGTTGGCTATCTAAGCACCTGGCCCCGATTTCTCCAAACAAACTTAAGTCTGAGTTTTGACTTAAGTTAGAGATTTTACTGAAATTGGAGAAAATGCATTTCCCATAATGAACTTAAATTGATATTAAACTCAAACATAGTTGGCAATTTGAGTTTGGTGGATAGATTACTTAAGTTGTTTGGGCTTTTTTATTTTAAAAATGCAGTTGAGTTAAAACTTTAGCTGTTTCAAATTGTCAAACTCAGTTTGAGATTTGAGAAAAAACTTAAGTTTGTTTTAGAAATCGGGGCTTGGAGGAGTCATATTTACCAGGCAAGACGGCAGATAGCCACAACAGTTTGGTGGTAGATGGCACGACCCAGGAGCCAAAGTCGTTTTCGGAAAGCCGGTTACCATGCCCTGGCGGACGCGGAGGCGGTCCCCTCAGGGGAGAAGCCTAGGGCTTCAGGGGCCGCGTGATATTGCTGGAATATTGCTTAAAGCGGCGTAAAACTCAACTCACTCACTCACTAGGGCTTCGAGGCTTAGAAGGGAACAGAGTCAGCTCGCATCAGGAGCCAGTGTTATCTCCTGTTACTTAGTCATCAGGGATTTCGACTACGCCAGCAGTGCCTGTGCAAGAGATTCTACGTTCAACCGTCTATGTCTTCAGGAAGTACGTCCCCTTCGGATGTGAGTGTGGATGCTGTTGACTCACCTCAGCTACTTATCTGGATTGCTGATAACCTCAAGTTACAGCGTTGTACTTCTAAGGATGACATTTTATCCAGTTTTGATATGAAGACTGGAGACTTTGGTTCCATCATGTTCCCTCCCCGACCGTGCATCACTCAGCTGACTGTGTCCCTGGATGAGGCTTTTACTAGTTTGAGGAAAATTAAAGATGGTTTTGCTACGCCTCGCTTCAACTTGGCATCGGCTCATGTACATGGATTGTCATCTATGATTGCCTCTCCTCCAGTAGATGATGATATCACATTGTCTGGGACGAAACAAAGAGCTTATTCGCCCTTTCTGGTCGAAGACCATGAACTGATACATTTAGATGCGTCCATAAGGAAGAGATTATGGCTCCATTAAACTTAGTGTTGACAACACTGTCGCACATGCTGCAACCGATCAGCAAGCATACATTCGAGCGGCTATGGTGTAATTGCAGGAACAATTCCAAACCATCCTAGATCTATTGGCTCTTTTTTTTCTCCTTTGTCACGCCTTTGAGGCATAGAGGATCGTTACAATTATCATCCTGGGAAGACAGATTCAGGACGGACCTGTTTTGCCAACCCTGGTCAGGCAATTTTCTGTTCAACTGGGCGATTAGGGAAGTCGCCGAAAGAGTAGGGCAGCATACCCATCTACAAGTCTCGGTCGAATTGTTGAGGTTCCAGAGACTACAAGTGGAGCAATCAATGAGACAGCGACGACCAGCTTGCTATGTCCCTACTAATCCGGACTTTCGCTTTTTTTCGTAGGGGGGTTCTACGGCTTCTTTTCGTGGGAGGGGTTCCTATGGAAGAGGACGATTAAGTCGCCAATGGAGAACTTTCAATGCTCCACAATCAACTTCCACTACCGACCAGCCCACCTGGCAGAGAAGTGATAAGCAATGACTTGTTGACATTGGAAGGCGACTGGGAACTTCCATCTCCAGTTGTACCCATTCAGATTTCCCCAGTAGGAGGCCGACTTTGGACCTATGCTCCCAACCAGACAATTTTGGGAGACCCGTACGTCCTGACCATGTTAACCAAGGGATTCCAGTTACCAGTCATCGGGGAAACGTCCACTCCCAATACTTCCGGATCGCAGAACGTATCCTGCACAACAATTGGCTGTTATGCGATCAACGATAGACACTCCGTGCGTCCGTCCGTCCGTCCGTGCACATTTGTCTTTTCCGGAGCATAACTCTAGAACCCTTCAATGTTTCTTCACCAAACTTGGCACATAGATAGATCTGGTGGTGTACTGGTGCCTTTTGGTAGTTTTGGAATTCTGAATAAGATATTGTTTGCGTTTCCATGGCAACAAGTTTGACTAAAACTGAAATTAGTGGTAGTGCTCTTTTCCGGAGCGGATTTTTAAAACCGTTCACTATTTCATCACCAAACTTGGCACATAGATAGATCTGGTGGTGTACTGGTGCCTTTTGGTAGTTTTGGAATTCTGAATAAAATATTTTTGGCATTTTCATGGCAACAAGTTCGACTTTGACTGAAATTGGTGGTAGTGCTCTTTTCCGGAGCAGAACTCTAAAACCATTCAATATTTCTTCATCAAACTTGGCACATAGATAGATCTGGTGGTGTACTGGTGCCCCTTGGTAGTTTTGGAATTCTGAATAAAATATTTTTGGTGTTTCCATGGCAACAAGTTTGACTTAGACTGAAATTGGTGCTCCTTTCTGGAGCAGAAACTTTCAAAAACTTTCAATACTCTCCTTCCACTTTTCTATATACACACCTAAATATTTGACATAATCAAACTCGTAGACATAATCATGAAGAGTATTTTGCCATTGCGGGGGATATTGATGACTTTGTCTTCTTGTTGTAAAGTTTAGTTGAATATAGTCTGTGAGCAAGTTGTTAATCAAGTCATTGCTGAATCAGTGTCAAACATGCCACAAAAAGGAAGTGATAAAATTGAACCTTCAAATGAAGGTACAGTATTAGACCAACATATTCGTAACCTTAAACAGGAAAAAAACAAAGCTAAATGTGCCTTCACCAAAGGAAAAAATAGGTTGAGCACTTAAGTTGAACAGGTTATGTCAAAACAAAGTGCAATTAGGTAAGGCATTGATCACGTTAGTTCACTACAGGTGAAAGTCATGGATATTATGGTAAAGCTTACACAAGCTTACACAGATGCTCATGATACAGGTAATGTGAACAAGGTGGATGCTGAAATATCAAAACTTGAAGCTGAAACTTCTGAAGTGATAGACATTGTTTAGATAGTGGTTCAAGCACTTGTTCACTCTCTAGCCATAGATTGTCCAGGTTGTTTAAAAATAATAACAAACCTAAACGCAGTAAAGATCAAACTGTAGTTGTAGAAAAAGACATGACTTCAATAGAAATATGAAGGCAACAAGTGGTATGAGCAGAGATAACCGTGATGAACAGAAATATAATCATAAGGAAGGTTATTCGGTGAAACAGTCTCAAGTATGTGGAAATATAGGAATCACCACAGGTTGGCAAGACACTGAGGATCAGTATGAGTTTCCTTATCGCCATGAAGGTAGGTTTGAAAACAGAGGAAAGCAAAACACTGCTGTTGGTAATGACATGTGGAAA